TATTGGATATCTACAAGATTCCCCAGGTAGGATATGAATGCAACATTTAATGCTTTTTTTTTTTCATTTGTCATCAATGTTGTTCTGCTGGATGCCTTTTTAATATATCTGAATCAGAATATATGAATGTAATATCCAATGTATGAGTGTAGAACAGTTCCTCGCTTTTTAATTTGGACTTTATATATAATACTAGATACACCAATGATTTGTCTTACATTTGAGAAGATTTATGTGTTGCTCAGTCGTTAAGTCGTCTCTGACTCTTCGTGACTCCATGAAGCATATCGCGCCAGGCCTTCCTGTCCTTCTCTGCCTGCCTGAGTTTGCTCAGTTTCATGCTCATTGCTTCAGTGATGCTATCTAACCATCTCATCCTCTCCCATCCTCTTCTCCTTTTGCCTTCAACCTTTCCCAGCATCAGGGTCTTTTCCAAAGAGTCATCTCTTCACATTAGGTCACCAAAGTATCTGAGCTTGAGCTTCATTATCAACTGTGTACTTCAGACAAAAACTTAATTTATCACCATTCTGAGGTAAAACAAAATTTTGACAAAATGAAACAACAGAAGTTAACTTACCATACAGGGCATTTTTTGATGGTGAATACACAAAGGCTAATGTGTACAAATAGAAATTTAATAAGCCATAGAACGATAAGAATTCTGCAGGTGATAACTGTCAAGGATATCATTACATATGAAACAATTCAACATGTCACCAATGAATTGTCTAATGAATTGCTCCAGATCTAAAGAGAGCCATACAAAAAGTTGAACGAGCCCCACTTTCTATTCCTCACCCAACTGTGACTTACATATTAAAACACTGCTGATGTAAAAAGCCAGCCTCACATACACATTTGCTAACATCTGTTTCCTAAGATCCTTTACAGAAGTTTGCCAACATCTAACCTCTAAAGCTACATTTGTTTGGGATGCTTGGAGTGGGTCTTTTTGTAGTTGTGACTAGTCCCTACCTTGGAAACTCTCCTAGCCTTCATTCTGAAGTCTGCTATCACCATGTTGGAAAACAAACAAGCAAGCAAACAATCCTGCATTGCTAGGTTTTAATCTTCTTGCATATCAGCCTTTGATTTTTCTTTGACATACTATCATTTTTAACTCTTCGTTAATTTAATTTGTATTGAATTCTAAATTTATTTTTTTTTAATTCAGCTATGAGCCAACTTTGGCTATTTTGATGGTGGAATAGAAGTGTATTGAACATTTAAATCAAATAAGAATTAAATGACCAGGAAAATTTAGCAATATTCATATTATTATGGTGATTCAAATGGCACATGGTACAAGAGCCAAAATGTGTATACATGGAAGTTGAGAATATTAAGAGTAGGCTTGGGGGTGGGGAGGGGTTTTTGTCAATGTTGACTTCTATAGGTTACATAATTGACCATAAAGCCTACTTTTTTTATTCGTATACTAGTCCTTTAAATTAGTCTTGCCCTACCATTTG